ACATCCGTCCACACCTGTACATTCCTTGGCGCCCTGAACTTATAATGTGCACTGACCATCGTGAGGAACGGCCGCTCATAACTTTTCTCAGAAGACCATTGAGCAGCTAAGGACAGATCTGGTACTAGTGCCCTAAGACCAGTAGAATGATATGCATCACGTGCGGAAACCCCTTTTCGACTGAGGGTTCTTTCTTTGTGAGAAGGGAGCATTGAGCAAAAGTAAAGCTTCCAAAAAGCTTAGCAGTCTTGGTAAATGTCAGACACTGGATTCTCCTTATGATTATTCGAATCCGCCACGTGTACCAACCTGCGCCACATTCAGTGGCAACCGATCTACGGTTTGATACAATTGTTATTGCTATGAGCGTGTTTTTCACGTGACTATAAAGTTTTGCACTCACGCTTATATGGATGTTTTCACGCAGTCTGAGGGGAGCGGATGGGGAATATTTTCTGATACTCTCTACACTTACCGTCCCTTTCTAATATGCATTACACTGGACTGTACAACAATCACAAGGATCCTCCCAAAAGGCCTTTTAAGAATGATTTTGATTTCTGAGATTTTGCTGGAGCAGTTTGAATGACATTGTTTGATGAGCCGTATACTTCCGATTGCCAATGTGTTAGATTTATTCAGAATTATTTACGTCTACGCTTTTTACATTCAAGGCTAGGTGTACTTTTGAGGAAGGTAGCACTTTTTCTGAATCAAAGCACTTGCAGATGTTTTCAGAACTACTACAAGAGTTGCTCAACTGCTCACCATTGCAATTACATGTTTTTTTTCTGTTTCTCAAGCAAAGTTTCACTTTTACAACCTTTAATAAACATAGACACTAGCTTCTGTAACCTCACAAGGGAAGTCATTTAACTTAGGTTGGGCTTTTGAAATTAGACACATATGGTTGGAATCAGCTTGAAACGCTGATTTCAAATCTGCTTTCCTTAGCTGCGAAGCGTTCCTCCGAAGCGAGTTATGAGCTTTTTCCTGAGCAAATTTTGCGTGTTGACCGACTTAGGCATGCTACGGTATCATCATCTAGGTAGTGGTACAAATGCATATTATAACCTATCAAGCCAAATAACTCAATTTGATGTTATTGATTTCCCATAACTTTTTGGGCAGATTTTCATCCAAAGACCTTCTTTCCATATTCAGTTGTATATATGTCAATGACACATACTAAAAAAGCTCATAACTCGCTTCAGAAGAACGCTTCGCAGCTAAGGATAACATATTTGGAATCAGCGTTCCGAGCTGGTTCTAAATACATATGTCTCATTTCAAAAACCCGACCTAAGTTAAGTGACTTCCCTTATCAGAGGTGTGACTTTAGTTGTCTAGATAAAGTTCCTTGGTTGTCAGAAGGTGTTTATCTCAAAAGCCTGCGTGAAGTTTGTGGTATAAAATCTGATTGATTTTTCTCTCTTCAACGGAGAACTTTACCGTTGCATGATGTCGTATCACGACTGAGTTTCTCTATCAAATCTAGATGGTGGTTCTGTAGTCTGCTTACTTGTTCAAAAAGGTATTTACAAAAAGCTTAGAAAGATATTTACCAACGAAGGAACTATTGTATGAGCGAGAGCCCAATAAACGAAATCACATGCATCCTTATGCGCATGTCTTGGAGCCTAACAAAGGATAGATACTTATATACTATGAACAAGTAGAAAAGTGGAATTAACAAGACTTAGCACGACATAAGTCTCTCCGTAGAAATATCAAGCAATTTCTTTCGAAGGCCAAGACAAGGAGCTATCATCCATTTTTTGAGACTAAAACCTCGGAGCCGCTTTGCGCACATTGTCTAGACAACTTTAAATTTGTTCTCACCCGAATTTAAGTAGTAGTTGATGATTGTGACGTTTAACGGTTTAACAGTCTTGGTGCCGGCTACAGCAACAACAGCATTTATAACGATGATTGTAACGAATCGGTAATGTGTATTGATAGACTGGTTGCCAATCGGGATTTGGTGCATAGGCGTACATTGAACTTGTTGATCGAACTCCTATTATCAAATCAACCAACAACGCAAGCACGCATTCGAACATAGCTGATTTGAAGGTCTGTAAGTGGCAGGGGGAGCCTTGAGGAATTGTGATTCTGTAAACTTTGTGAAGTAGTGAAAGCTATTGTACGAAAAATGCTATCAAGGAGGCAATCTAATAATCAAAATGCTATTTAACAATGCGAGGTAAACCATGCAAACATCACCATGCTCGCTAGGCTATGTCAGTCTCTTATATTGTAAGCGAATAAACACACTACGATTGAGCATGAATCTGCTGATAAACTGATAGTAACACAACTTGTAAGAAAGTGTTGTATGTTGTCCGATAATCATCAATGCACATTCTCAGGGTGCAAAAAATGATAGAAACACGTCAAGATTGTAATTTATACTTAGTAAACCTGGATGAGAATTTTTGGCTATACCAGAACCCTGCCGATGCAGATCCCTTTGTTTGCATCGGAGACGGAGCGCGTAGCCCTGCTTTCTTCTGAGCACTCAGTGATTTGTCCTGGTAAAATATACCACTGAATCACTTCTCACTGTACTAGAAGGTCCTGTCATACGCTCAGTACACCAAGCTATACCATGAGCCTTGAGTTGCTGCAAAAACTAGTAGCTTTTCGACCACACTTCAAACCAATTTGAACAATGTGTACGAAGCGGTTTTGGACCTCTTAGTTTCAGAATAAATGGAATGAATGGTTAGTCCTCTCACGACCTAATATGACGGATACACACACATGATGCACCATGATACTGCGAACTTGAGAAACATAGCGGTGCGAACGTGCTTGATCCGATACTGGGATAGACGATTCAAAAGGTCCTTAGAGTGGTATCAGCTAAGAAATGCTACCACATCGCCATGACTTTTTCAAAAGCCTTATCGTGATAATCCAACGATGGTGAAACTGGCTTTTTAGAACTAGTTCTTTTGCTAACGACACTGTGTCCTATGAAAAATGGCCCATCGAGCGTAAAGTATTAGGTTGGAAACTAACAAGGGAACCGTGCCGAGTCGAAGTGGCCTTTCCAAATGAGACCCATACCGCTTTGAAGAGCATTAATCGATGATTCCCAATCTGCTTTCCAAATCTGCCAAGCGCCTCTGGACGCTGAGTTATGCTCGTTTTTCAGGTCAAAAAATTGAACGCCAAACTGAAACAAAATCGCCCAAATTTGCTCAAATGGTCCAGTGTCAAGTACCAGAGCTGTTTATGCAATGGATACATTTTATTTACTATGCTAATACTTAACACTGCTTTATATGAGCGCTGGAAAGGTTGTAGCAATCAATTTTACCTAAATTCTGCATTCATTTTTCGTTCCGAAGAGCGGTCATAACTCGGCGTCCAGAGGCGCTTGGCAGATTTGGAAAGCAGATTTGGAATCACCGCTTAATACTCTTCAAAGCAGTATGGGTCTCATTTGGAAAGGCCACTTCGACTCGACACGGTTCCCTTGTAAGTTTTGCAACTGGTCTCATAACTTCCCCCTCACTCAACATGGCGCACTCAAATTTTGCCACTGCGTTGGTTATTATGTAAGCTGCAAGCGCAGCTGCTGTCCTACCAAATTCTGACGTCGCAGTGAGGGTTACGGTAGATGCATGGTATGAAGGGGAAAAATTCCAAGTTTGACGGATTTGGCTGAAACTTGGCATAGGGGTGTTATCCGACATGCTGGTCACGAAAACGATAGTTAAATTGTGTGATAAGGGCTTTTTTGTAGGATTAATGTAGATGTACGATACGGGGTCTCACCCTAAACAAGGAAAAAGGCGTTGATTCAACAAATGGATGTGATGTTCGCGTTTGGCAGGTCAAATAACCTTACTATGTAAAGTCTCGGCGGAATTTGAGCTTCGGACTCTTTAGTCATTGACGATTGTCCTCAGCAGCTCTTGCGTACATCGACTCGTTCGAATTTATGAGGGCGCCAAATCTCGACATGCCCCTAAATTTTGCTTCTTTCTTACTAGGTCAAAGGAGTCAACCTCCAGCAATAATTTGTAGACGAATTCGGATTACTGCGCATAGCCTAGGCTGCCAAAGGCTTCATTTTAGCTTGAAACCCCAAAAATTCTCAAATTTCACTAGTTTTCGAAAAACGCCTGAAACTTTTTTATTTCGTGTTCAAAACTTAGACAATTTGTGCTCACTTGTAGCTCACATTGCCTTCTACATAATGCCAAAGTTTGAGTGCGCCATATCCAAAGAGAGTGAAGTTATGAAACTAGTTGCAAAACTTAGTTTCCAGCCTAATAAAAGTGACGCTCTTTGATCTTAAGGATCAAGACCAGCCCACGAATCATAGCATTTAGCAAGCATTGGCAACCTCTTCCTTTGGAGGTTTAATAAGTGCTGGCCATAATTATAGAGCCACTCTAAAAATCGTCGTAATTTTCGTTCTTGTCAATGAATCTGTCTGAAACTTTGTATTGTGCGCATGTCAACCTACCATGACTCCCTTAAAACGGCTTCCAGTCTTGTTGAGTTTGAATGGAGAAAAATGAAAAAAAAAATTCTAAACAAAATTATAAAGCCACCTGGTTTTTCTAATCACTATCGCATTCGTTGACTCTCAAATTTTTTTGTATAATTACATCCCAAAATATGAAACATTTGCAACACCTACGGCTTGTCATCCTACTCAAATAAAAGCGATCTCTACATTTTTTGCTTTCAAAAGCATCAAAAGTCAATCTGCTTTAACAAGAAGTTGGTTTGAGGAGTTTTCAAGCACTTGTTTATTTCAAATGATAGCAATAAATCTACTAAGCATTTTCGATAGATGAGGTGAGGAGCGCTTCCATAAACTCTGCGAAATCGCTGATATTGAAGAACAGACACCAACCTCATTATAAGGTTGTTACGTTTTTACTTCACAAAACTCTAAGGATATTCGACCAGACTAACTTTTGGCATATATGTCAAAGATTGCATTGTGCTCTTTTACTTATGCACATTATAAATTAGTGAACTGTTACCGCATACTTCATTATCATATAATCATAAGAATGGGAGCTTTTTTCCATCAAATCAGTCAGAGACATGTAGATAGGTGTTTGCAATATCGAAACTATATGAATGTCCTTAAATAAGTGAGTTCTTTCAGTGCAAGCTTGGATTACAATTTTAACCTTAGCTGTGAGTGTAAATGCATTTCCTAATACAGCACTGATTATAACATGATGACTGTTTCAGGAATGGCCATTAGTAAGTCAATAGGTTAACGCTTTTTCCCTCCTGACAAGATTCCCATCAATCCGCCTGTGATTGCTCCTGTTATAGCTCCAGTTATAGGATCTAAATTCGTAATGAAAATTTGGATTAATCGCTCTTTGTTCGAAACGTACCCACTCCTGCGATACCAATCAATTGACCTTGAGGAATCTGTGCACCGTAAGGAAAACCGTAATAGTCAATATAATCTGGATATTGTGAGTTTATTCCGGCAATCAGTAATAAAATCAGCAATAGAACAGATTTTGGAGCGTCCATTCTTACTTGACTAAGAAATGGGTTAAAATAGTCAGAAAGCTGTAAACAGCGAATGAAGAAGAATGACAAACTAATTCTTTTTAAAAGCTGTTTTATAGGTAAACGCGGTGCAGCAAAATACGGAACGTTTACTCAGCAGCAAAGGTGTGTCAATACAAAGCGTACGATTGACGAGTTAAGGCTCTTTTCGCCAAATTTAACGCCGTCACGAAAATATTGTTGTAATTTATTTGCGAATACTCAACAGCCTTTCAAAGTAAACTTGGCAATAATTGAAGAGCAAGAAGTATGTAACTTCCCACATTGAAACTTTTCTGTAATATTACACAAATGTGACTATAGGCAAAACCCTAATAACTTTGGGCAATCAGATAGCAAGTAAGACTAGCACAACTAGTCTATTTCGAGTAAGAATGATGCAAAGAATAAGCTACATATCACGTCAAAGCTCAAGTAATTCCCCAATAGCTATTCATTCCGCTTCGATTGCTGCAAGTACAGGTATTTCTCCAAAAAGTTCAAGCCCCCATATTTGTAATACATGCAGTATTTTTAGTAAAGGAATTTCTGTTGACTGTATATCGTGAAAAATTACGAGAAGAATGATTATGCTTGAAGCCTACGAGCCTTGATGATTTTTATCTAAGTTTGAAGCTAGCATTTGAGCCGCTTGATTCGTCGAGTATGGTTTAGGCATCAAGATTGAAATATTCGCCTTTGATATCTTTGATGTAAAAACATTGTACAGTTTGCTTTTACAATCTCATGTTCAAAACGAAGAAAGATAACTGCTTGAGTGTGTCTGTTGAGTTTGTGATATTTCTATAACATGTTTCTGTTATATTTTCAGAAACACTTTATAGAGATAGCACAAAGAAAAAGCTCAAATATACCAATTTATCAGTCAACCTCGAAACTGAATTTGGTACTCCTTTTGTAATAAGTTTGACAGTTGAGACTTGGAGTAATTACAAACTCGTATAGCTGCGCTCAAGAGGAAATATAAGCTTGTTTGCTGTGCTTGTAAAATGCTCATGATTTGTCCCGATCTATCGAAAAGCGAACAACAGCTTTTGAATAGCATTATCATTGTATGCTGTAGTCAGATTGTGGTGAAAACGAAATTTCCAAAAAATGGAAATCCCAATTTATGTTACAAATTGCTTTGAATCACTGCAAAGCAACAGATTTAGAAGATCCGTTCTTGGCGAGTTTTATCTCTGTTGCACTCCTTGAATCATTGTGAGCTCTGAAGGCCAAACTAGCCTCACCAATGATTAATTCTGCGAGGTCCAATTCTGCCGATTATTCTCAAACTCGCTTGTCAAGCTTCATTCATAGCAGTGCCGGAGTGTGACTAAAGCTTTGAAAGATGTATGTTCTACACCCGATAAAGCAGCGCCACGAATAACTTGCTCACTCTGAAGCTTAAATACTCGTTTCCCAAGCTGCAAGCTGGAGCACTCCTTAATCACTGCTAAAGTGTGAGCTTGCAACCTGCCAAAATCTTCGCGTACGTCTCTTGCAATTTAGCGGAACCTTTACACTTTTCGACGCAAGATGTAGTCGCCGTTTCCAAACGTCGTTTTACCTTTCTTTGAACAGTCTACGTTTCCCACATAGAGTGTCGACCAAAAATATAATATAGATATAATATCGGATTCCCGATTGTCGCGAGGACAGACTCGGGCGAGTGTATTAGCGATGCGGTCGGCCTTTATTGAAATATAGCTGATATACCGATTATAGGCTGACCATTACGACCGCCCTCGCAGCAATCGGGGAGCCGATTGTACTGTACTCGGGCTACTTCAACTGATTATTCGGTTCTTGAAGGGATACTGAAAAGGGAGGAGATCTGGTCGCCAAAGCCAGAAATTTTTTCCGCTAGTTTCACTTACACTGAAATTACTTTCCAGCCATTCGTTCACCGTTTCCCGATTCAACACTAACCGAATTTGAAATTCAAGCTGAAGCGAACAGGTGAGACTACTCAGACAATCGACCGGACCCCTCCGCCGGACAGTCGGAATCTGCCAGAGTCGCGCCGGACCCAGTTGACCAATGAGAGCGGGGCAAATGGGCGGTCCCTTCTTGTAGGTCGCGGTGACATCACTGGCAGGCAAGTGGGACGCTTCTCCGGCCCTGCTGCAAAGGTACGCCATTTCTGCTCCGGAGGTACGCCAGATTTGGCAGAGCCGCGCCGAAGAAATTTGCCCGGCGCGAGTCCGCCAGATTTGGAAGAGCCGCGCCGCAGAAAATCGGAGGGGTCCGGAGCACAAGTGGGAGGTCTCCGGAGCAGAAATCGGAGGTCTCCGGAGCAGAAATGGGAGGGCTCCGGAGCAGAATTGTGAGGTCTCCGGAGCAGAAATGGGAGGGCTCCGGAGCAGAAATGGGAGGTCTCCGAGCAGAAATGGGAGGGCTCCGGCGGACGAGTGGCAGACCCACCGTTGGGGAAACGCCGCGGCCCTGCCATTTCTCCGGCGGAGGGGTCCTATCCGCTGTCTGAGTATGGAAAAATGTGCGAATTCATAAACTCCACATATTGCTATAACTGAAATATAGACACGATGATGGTCATAATGCTGCTCAAAGTGTGCATAACGGCTAGCAGGGTTTTGCAGGCTATGCAGAAGCTTTGAACGAGTTTCCAACTGCTAATATTAATGTTTTTGTGATATTAGAATGTCCGAAAAATTATTTTGCGTGGCATCCTACCGCGAAAGAACGACCGCAAAAAACAGCGAATGATGTATCATTTGATAGAGCAAAGCAAGCTCTACAAGGTAGTTTACAAATCTCCGCGGAGATCTTGCTCCACCTGAAGTTCGAATCAATATAGAAAAATTACAAATACCAAAAAACTCGTATCTTCGTTCATAGACGTCTTAGGGATTTTTTGCACAGACATGTACCCTCCACTCGAGACATTCACCTGTATAGTTTGTGGTATAGGTCAAAAGTGCAATTATGTCGCGTTTTTCGGGATTTTTGCAAACAATCTGATTTTTCTCGAAAACTAGCGCTTATCTAAAGTTGAAAATTCATGATTATACTCCTAAAGGTTCATACTACAGAATCACCCATGTGAGAGAAGTTCAGGATTGCTTTGGCAAAAAGACGCCAAATTTCGTTCTCCCAGTTTTCAGCCATGAAAAACTGCGAAGTTGTGCGTACGAGTGTCTCATATAGTGAGTCCGTGCGTGAGCAAGTTAGGGGTTCCCAGGACTTTCATGGACGGAGATGCGATTTTTTCGTTTTTTAGGTCTTTAATGCCTTATGAAATTTGGCTACAAACTTCACGCAAATCAGACCTGGCGCGAAAGTTCGAGCTTTATTTTGTAAAGCTTGCCTCATCGGTTAATACCCCACTTGCTCACTCTCGTGCGCACGCTGCTGCGATATTGCATGATAAAACACGATGCGACATTATTTTCCGGGCAACCTAATATTTATGAGTGGATGCTCTACCCAAGAAAGTTCTGTCTGTGATACAATTGTCAACTTTTGGATGACAAATCAAGTTTCTTTTTTAAGAAAAGTTTATATCGATATATTTCACCATGTGACAGTCTTGACCGGATGTTAATACTTTATTCGCTGACGTTACGGGAGGTGTTTTTCAGAGCCTGGAATGGACAGCACGACTTGCATACTACTCGACCAAACGTCTCTGTAACCCGTGCAAAAAAAACTCTAAAGCTTGGGTAGATTGGTAGTTTGCTGCCTAACGAAGCACTCACCTTCTAAGAACGCCGATGAAATTCTTATTTTAGAACGAGCGCTGTATGACCGAATGCATGTGCCACGGCTATTTATAACTTCTCCGGCTGGTCAGAAAACCTGACATAAGTAAGGAGCGTTTCAGAGCTGTGCTGTGTGTCTCCTGCTTTCATGGCTTTGATCTCTTTTTTGTTTAGGTGGATGGCGTTACTGCTGGTCCCAGTGAAAATGATTAGCAAGTCAATTTACCCTTTTGTAATATGTAGCAGATGTTTCGCCATGCTAATCATATTTTTCGTTGTATTTTGTATAGATATTGTTAATAATTCTATGTAACGAGTTTGAGCATGTATATTATGAAATGTTGTTCTAGAATCGCGTGGAAAAGCGAAGAACCAAATGCGGCGTTTTATTGCTCTGAATTAGCATTTGTAGCGGAGGAGTCTTTATCTTCTTGTTCTTGCTTTTCTGACTTAATGCGCTAGGCTTAAAACCGTTTGTATATTTTACTGTGATTCATTACGCTAAGTTGAGCCTGTCGATTGTGATTTAATACAGTGAAGTTCAAGATTTTTGAAGCGCGTTTTATAGTTGCTTCGATAGTCCAGTTATTTGATCCCTCTGATACGCTCTAAATATAATAGTTGCCCTATATGTATTGTTTCATAATATTCTGTCATATTTCCTCCTTTTTACAACAAACTATTACACAAATTGAAATACAATCTGTACCATCAAATACAGGGTGCCTCAAAAGTATACATACATTGTTTGATCATTAATATTTCTCTTTTCAAGAATTCTGCCTAACTTCAGATACCAATATGTGCAACTGGCTTCATTTCAGATTTACAGTACGGTGCAATCCCTCTTCACTTCTTTGAGATAACAGGAACACTTGGCTTTAAATTATTCGAAAAGAGTTCCAAAAACTCTAAAATATGGTATCAGGAAATTTACGCTCGCTGATCCATTACTCGAGTTTTCAAGATTTGTAAAGCCCTTCCTTCAAATGGTGTAATCACAATTTTAGGGAGCATTGTAGAAACAGCTGTTGCTGTTCACCTGGCATGAGTTATAAAGGAAGCATCGTTTGCTTTGTTCTCAGAGGCGAGATTGGGCCATTTAATTGCTTGAAATCGTTCTCGAAGTTCCAACCGTAATCCTACAGTAATGAGGAAAGACCGGTGATTACCTCTTAACTATAGAACTAAACTGAAGCCAGCTTTATATGGTACCTGAAAGTATACAGAAGACTTTTAGGGAGAAGAGATATGAACAATTA